GAAGACCTACTTTAAGTGAAGTTTCCACCTTTCAGTGTCCATTTTGACGAATATTTTGCTGATTTTTCTTCAACTTCTGCTTGAGATCCGTATGATACCGAGTCCAGTAAAACATAAACAAACGAAAACCACACAATAACAAATTCATAGCCATCTCAAGAAGGTAGATGTTCCAGGTTTCCGGTAGTTTCAAACGAAGCAATACAAGAGCTCAACTCTGTCGCTGTGAATAAACATAGTCAAAATACACCCCGCTCCACAAAACAGTGAACGAATGAACGTCTTCCGAGGCTGGTGCCAGTCCGGCCATCTTGAAAATATCTTGAAGCAAATGGCGCCGCAAGAACTTGACAAGGTCCTGAGTATAAAAGTCTATGCCGAGGTCACAAAAAGAAACGGAGATGATAACGAGCTGGAATCCCTTAAAATCATCCAGAGTGCCATTGAACGATATTTAAAAGAGAAAAACTATCCAGTGGGCGTCTTGCATTCGGGGGAGTTCATAACTCGAAAGAAATCCATCGCAGAATTACATTGGCTGCACCTTCAAATTCGTTCTCCAAAGACAACTAGAAGTCTCAGCCTCAACCACAGAAGAAAGGAAGGCCTTCCATCATTGATTCAGGCGACGATAATTGAACTTTTATGCATTAAGGAGACTGTTTTCGTTCTGAGTTCAGAACTGCTTGTTCCTTTGTTATGCACGAATGAGTTTTCGTCACATGACATCGTTTTGCACTAGATGAGATATAAAGGTGTTTCCTGTTCCACTATTTTTAACAAACCGGCTACTGGATCTAAAATTTAAGGCGATAAAATTGTGCGATTTCAAAATGGATCTAGTAAAGTGGCAATTGAACTTTGTGTCGTGCAATTTTGGTCCGAAATCACACTTGTGATTTCAGACCAAATTGAACTCCACTCAGTTCAATTACCATTATAAATCAATCAAATCAAACTTTCCCTATCTTTCATAACTTGGCTTTTCTTCTTTTCTCGGAATTTTTAATTTTTATGATTAATTGGAAATAAGGCTTCGTGTCGTCCAATTCGGTCTGTAATCGTATCTATAACAATATTCTCGATCGTGACTGGTTCTCCGCAAGCCTATTTGTCACGCAATCGGCGCGATTTGTAATTGGATACCCACGTGATTCGCACGTCAATTATGCGCACTTTGATGGCTTCCTTTGCAATGTTTTCTACAGTTTTCAAAACTTATGAAAAGCGCTACAGACGTTTTCGTTCGAAAGAAGCTCTCAAAAAACATTTTTAATTCCGAAATTTGTTATTGCTATGATTAATTAGTAATTGGACCTCTTTTCATACAATTCAGTGAGTAGCCGTGCTCGCAATTTCAAATGAGCCTATAAAAGCTTTTTTTTTCTTTTTCGACTTTTCCACTTCTTTATTTTATCCTTGTGAGGTTCAAAAACAAAAAGAAATTACATATTCTAAGGAGTTCAGTGCGTTCTCATTAAACTCTGAACGTTTTAGATCGGGTTGAATAGCCTGGCGAATTCCGGTCCAAGCTAAGAAATTTCACTGTCTCAGACCTTTTCTTTTTGCAATATTA